ACGCAAATTCACACTTTAAAGCTTTCGTGACTGCAGGGATTCATCTTCTTGGTTCTTTCGATAAAGTCACGTAGAAGGGAAGTAATAAAATAATAAAAATAAAACATAACAAAATAATTCTCACGACGTTTCGGCCACAACGCAAGCAGCCGTCTTCAGAACCAAGAAGGCAAATTCTGCCTTCTCGACAGACCTGTTCTCCACCTGAAGACGGCTGCTTGCGTTGTGGCCGAAACGTCGTGAGAATTATTTTGTTATGTTTTATTTTTATTATTTTATTACTTCCCTTCTACATGACTTTACCGAAAGAACCAAGAAGGCAAATTCACACGTTTAAAAGTGAGACTGCTACCTTGGCGTCAGGCGAGGAAATGTAACCATCACACGTCTGAAGAACAATCACTTTTATATCCACGGGTGTCCAGCCGCACCCCCTCTGACACAATCGAGCCGTGCCGGCACGCGCGGGTCATACACCGCTTCACGTTCGGTGTTCAAGTCATCCTCAGAATGTCACACGGAAAAGCAGCTATCTGCGATGACCACCGTGCCGCACTGTCATGAAACACACTTTTATCACCCCCCCCCTCCCTCCTTTAAAGCTGAAATATACTGCACGCGGAGCAACTACAGTGAGGAAAAAAAGTATTTGATCCCCTGCTGATTTTGTATGTTTGCCCACTGACAAAGAAATGATCAGTCTATAATTTTAATGGTAGGTTTATTTGAACAGTGAGAGACAGAATAACAACAAAAACATCCAGAAAAACGCATGTCAAAATGTTATAAATTGATTTGCATTTTAATGAGGAAAATAAGTATTTAACCCCTCTGCAAAACATGACTTAGTACTTAGTGGCAAAACCCTTGTTGGCAATCACAGAGATCAGACGTTTCTTGTAGTTGGCCACCAGGTTTGCACACATCTCAGGAGGGATTTTGTCGCACTCCTCTTTGCAGATCTTCTCCAAGTCATTAAAATTATAGACTGATAATTTCTTTGTCAGTGGGCAAACGTACAAAATCAGCAGGGGATCAAATACTTATTTCCTTCACTATATGTGTGATGTGTCTTGGAATTAGACACAATCTGGGGTTTGTAGAGCATCCAAACGAAGCAGATTTCCCAAGATACCGCCGACTTTACGCATTCATCTTCAGCAATGTAACCTACGGCCCTCTGTCAATCCACTGCTGGATGAAGGCCTCGCCCATGACCTGTCGACCATGGTTATAGTTCGACCAGACTTTCACCACGTTGGTCAGGGCGGATTGGTGCAGGGAGATGCCCAGGACCGATTCAAATATCACGTATTACTGTTGTCAGCCAGGAATCGAACTCGGGTCACTGGGTCTCAAGGTTCACAGTGCCAGCATTGCAGCTCCACCACGCACATCTTCAACGCACACGCGGTCATTCCAATTCGTAATAGAATCAGACTGATTATTTAGACTACAGGCAGGAATCCGATGAGCTATGAAGCTCTTTTTCACAGATGTCCAAGTGTGGGCAGGGTCAGCGTGTGCTCGGCACCAGCAACAAGCTGTGAATGAGATATATTCTTGGGTTTTTTCGGTAAAGTCACGTAGGTAAAAAATAAAAATTTATAAAAGTAAAATAAAATATTTTATTTGTATTTTATTTTACTTTTATTTTACTTTTATTAATTTTAATTTTTTACCTACGTGACTTTACCGAAAAAACGCAAGAATATGAATCCTTGCAGTCACGAAAGCTTCAAATATGTGAATGAGATGCTGCACGGGCGAGGAATTCCACTTGTGTACAAACACTAAGTAAATAGAAATAATTGGACGAATTAAATGCTACGCTAATTTGTTTTTTGTATTCTTCTTCTCCTCTTAAGAGAGAAAAGCACACATGCTCGGAGTTTGTGGCCAACGTTATAGATGAGGGGCGAGGTGAATAAACAATGGACATTTCCCAGTAATAGTCACGAAAAAACATGTGACTTAAAAAATAATATTCGACGATTAATGATGAGTGTGGGGTTGGACAGTGCACGTCGTGGATAAATGGGATGGTGGCTCGTGACCAGGAATTATGATGCCTTGGCAGCCAAGGGGATTGACCACGTCCAAGAGGTCGTGCACCGAGGAGATGGAGCGAGTTAAGTGAGCTCTGCCGGGTGGATTGTTGCATTGCGGGATCGTGAGAGGCGGTGGACGGTTTGGGGAGGTTTCATAACGGGTGGCGTGAGGCATAAGCAAAGCAACTGTGAAAAAAAAAGCTTTACAGATCATCGGATTCCTCCAGCATAAATACATATTCTGATTATGAACTAAGGCCCAAAGGGATCAAGGGGTCCCGGGTACATAAACAAAATATATACACACAGCTGAACAAATATTAGCTCCAATTAAAATCATAATAAACATAAATAAACCAATTAACTGAAATAGCTCTAAAATATCTCATCTCCATCTTGTCTCTCATCTAACGGCATTGTTGTCCCTCGTCAACACAATCTCTCATTTCACTGCATCTGTGTCTCATCTGCAGATCTGCATTCTCCTCTCGCTACGTTTCTGTCTCTTGCCGACACCGCTTCAGTCATCTCACGAGGGACGTCATTCGTGGAAAGGGAGGGGGGTCTGCTTCGGACCCCCAGAATTACCAGCAAAGCCACTGGCCTTCATCCAGCAGTGGGTCGATCATGACTGATCGTGATGAACGATGTTACACGATTAACTATTACACACCACTGGAGCTAAAACAGTATCTCAGCAAAGAGCAAAGCTAGAGTGATGTTCTGAGCCAGTGGTGGAAATTCGACATTCATACGGGGAGGAAGGCGAAGTCTATCCACAGGACAGCCACTTCTGCCTTCCCCCACCCATACTCTTAGGTTTTTTCGGTAAAGTCACGTAGGTAAAACAATAAAATTAAAAGTTAATAAAAATAATAATGGAAATAAAATAATAAATCACGACGTTTCGGAGGCAACACAAGTCTCCGTCATCAGGTGGGACCGTCACAGCAAAAATTACTGCATCAAGATTAGAGTGTGAATCCTTGCAGTCACGAAAGCTTCAAATCTAGAATTAATTCCCACACCCACCCTGAAAGTGCCACTTATTTTATCGACCCTGCAGGGGATGATGGCCTGAATCATCCCCCCCCCCCCTCAATCAGGATGTGAACTCGCAACATTCCGAGAGACCCAGACGCCAACCATGGCCGGATTACCCGAAGGGAGGGAGTCTGATCAATATGGAGCCCTTTCTGCGGTTCAGCTTTCACTGTGCACTGAGGTAATGATGTCACAGCATCAATGACTGGAATGAGAAAAGGGGATATGTGTTTTTGTTTGTGTGGGAGAGAGCACTGCGGGGGTAAGGGGGGTGGTGGTATTGTGGGTACTGTAAAACAGGTGCAGATCATATAGTTTTGCAGACATCTATGTTAATACAAAAATGCCTGCATATCAATACCACGTCAATACTTCACAGAATGGTTATACAAGCCTCTCTCTTCTCTCTCATTCAGCCCTGCCGGGGCATGTGCCCATCACGGCCATTGTGTAGACGTAAGACAATAAATAAAATTGTGTTCGTAAAAACCTATGCCAAATTACATGTAATCCATTGTTATACATCAGGGCCCAATTTTGTAAACATTTTGTGCCATCGCTCCAGAACAAAAAGCACACACGCGCACTCAGATATTGTAAATAGAAACAATCTGGCCTAAACCCAAAGCTTGCGTGACATTGACAGTTGTATGAAGTGTGCCCCGTGTAAATGAGGTGATTACAGATAATTACGAGGTGATTACATGTGACGATGATGATTGGCGGTGGCGATGACATGCAATGCAATACTCTTAGTTCTTTCGGTAAAGTCACGTAGGTAAAAAATGAAATTAAAATTACTAAAAAAATAAAATAATAAAATCACGACGTTTCGGAGGCAACACAAGTCTCCGTCATCAGGTGGGACCGTCACAGCCAGATTATGAATCCTTGCAGTTACGAAAGCTTCAAATCTAGAATGCAATGCAATGTTAACGGTGATAATGTGCACACTTTGGTTGCTTACGTTACGAAAGATATTTCCACAGCTGAAGAGATGACATCATGACTACCATCAAAATTGGAACTATAATCAAATAGCTGGTGTTTCCTTTTCTACGGATGACATCAGTGCTGGGGGGGATGGTGATGCCAAAACAAATGATCCTCGTGCATCTTAACACTGATCGCGACAGACGAGTGATAGAATCCGCCGCACTGTAGCAACGTTACAACAAAATAGGGAGGTATGGTAAGAGGGATTCTGCAGTAATGCTGATTAAATGGACATTAGTTTCAACGCTGTCTGTGCAACGTTTCACAACTGCAAATGATAACATATGTACCAATGCTGTGATAATTTATGCGAATTATTACGTTACAATAGCAGCGGCAACAAAAAAAATGTGCACCCCAACAGCAGCATTGCAAACGTCCATCGCGACGTGATGCGGTCTGCACGCAAAGTGTGCAGCGCTAACGATTGCGTTATTAATTGTCACGCACATTCGGGGTAAACACTGCGTTGCTGCGATCTGCACCGACAGAGGGAGCGCTCACCTACGAAGCCGAAACGTGCACGAACAACGACCGTGATCTTTCATATTGACAACATTGCCACTCCGAGTGTGGTTGGGTGAGTAGACTGCACGGGGAGACACAGCGAGGTGGCACGTGGTGCCTGGCAAGGGCTCAGCCACCAGCCCCACGGCATCACCCGACCGTGTGCGGTGACCATCGTGGTGAAGTATGGCTAAAAGCGCTCCCCGCGACGAACACGTTCCCAGGAAAGCCACCTTCATCCAGGCAACGTGATGCCAAGAAGCTGGACATTCTAACATTACACGTATCATGTTGTGAAATCGAAGAGATGTATTGAAGCAAACGATCGTTACATTACGTGTTAATCCATTGCACGTATCACTGCAACCCCCCCCCCCCCCCCAGCTCACAATTACAATGTACCTTCAACACAAACGGGCGAACCTCATTCAGAGAGCAGGCCCGCAACTTGTGTGTGATGGTCTCGATCATGGTCGTGGCGATGCTGCTGCCGATGTTGATGGAGCCGGCGTTGATGCTGCTGATGATGTTGATGAAGCCGATGTTGATGCTGCTGCTGCTGCTCCTTAAGATGCTGCTGCTGCTGCTTTGTCGTTGCTCAGGCAAAGAGGATTGTTTGTGTGCAGCCCCAGCTCAGCCGTTGTGTTGGACTCTGTTTGTAGCTGCAGACTGTTGTGGTTGGACACTACGAGCTCGTCCTGGTAAGGGCGAATGTGTTGATGCTTTTGTGTTAGTGGTACCGCTGATGCTCCCACTGATGATCGTAACTGTGGTGATGATTTATACCCCTGCAGATCAGAGAGTGGTCGCGGTGATGGCTACGACTGCTGACGATGGCTGTTATTGACTGTGTCAATTAGGATATTTTAACGATGATGATGATGGTAGTGGTTGCGCGATGATAATCGATATTGTAACGATGATTATTACGATGTAGCTGATGATGGTTATTGACGGCGCTGCTTGATGATCAAGACGCTGATAGCGGTGATTAATGACGGCGCTTGTTGATGATGACAATAAAACATTTAATGACGATAATGATGATGATGTTATTAACAACGTTGCGCAATGATAATGATCGTGCTTTTAACGATGCTGATTGTTGACGACGTTACTCTGATGATGATGATGATCTTAATATCCTGTAATGATTAAATGACGATGCCTGCTGATGAGGATTCCGGGATAGAGGAGAGCGGAGGCGACCTGAGCTCAGACTTGTCTGCTACTGGACGTTCTGTCCTCGGGCTCTTGATGAAAAATTCAGCTCCGCGCATTCCTGCAGCGTTGCAGTGATGAGCGCTGCTCGGCGCCGAGCTAACGCAGACACGCAGACAGCAGCAGCAGTAGCCACTGCAACAACAACAACCACAGCAGTAGCCACTGCAACAATAACAGCAGCAGCGGCAGCCACAACAACAACAGCAGCAGCAGCAACAACTGCTCACGTACAACACAACACGGTGTTAAGAGCACAGACACGACAACACAACAGCAGATGTAAACAACCCCTACGCGCCACGCGCATCTCGGTCTGCGCGTAAAACTACTCACTGCTGCAGCTCTCACAAATGCTTCCCTCCTACCGATGCCCTCCTCCTCCTCCTACGCGCATCATCATCAGCAGCAGCGTGGCCCTCTCTCATTGTCTGCCCTGCTATGTGCTGCGCTATGCGAGTGCTGTGTGTGTGTGTGTCGGTGTGTGTGCGTGCGCGCGTGTGTGTGATCTGAATCGTGTGCGTGCGCGCGTGTGTGATCTGAATCGTGTGTGCGTGTGTGCAGCGGTGGCGTTAGGTATTAGCACGCGGAGCGGAATCCTAAGGCCCCCAAGTAGCTGAAGGGAGCCCCCCCTCCTCCCCCCACCGGATTGATCGACGACAATAACATATTTAGGATGTGCATTGAAATATCAGCTCGAATTCTAATTAGCATAGCAAATTAATTAACATAAAATCTAATTAACTTACCATATCTATATTTTCTGCAGTATAGATCTATATTGTCTGCAATATTGTCTACAATACAGATATGCATCTCCAAATGAGTTTCTGCTTCGTTTACCCCACTAATATCTCTTGTCCCATATCTCTTGGATCATCTCACTCGAATTTTATGAATTGAATGGAGCTAAGGGTGGAGCGGGAGATCCCAACAATATTTTTTAGGGTCCCCCAAAGGGGGCTTGCAGCACGACCCCCACTCTGTGTGTGTGTGGGCGCGTGTCAGCTGGCACAGCCACATGGAACAGAACGAGGGTCAATTTAGGAGCTAGAGATGATGATGATGACGTCAGCCACAGACATAAACATATTTTTTCTACACGTGCAATTAAAAAAAATATATACACCACTATTAATGTGTGTACTGTGTGTGTGCGAGTACATTTTACAGTTCTGTACTAGGCATCGTTCGAAAAAAAAATGTGTTTACACATAGCCAAAAAATACCGCATATGCCGTATAATTACTCTGTTCAATCAACACGTCTAACATACAAGTGCCAATTATTTATATAAATATAAAAAACATGCTTCATCTGTACTGTGCAGTTGTAATAATAACAATAATTTGCAGCCCGATATCAATCCACTTCTGGATGAAAGCCTCTATCCCTTCGCCATTGTCATTCATGGGGATTGTTTGACCATACAGTCACCCACGGCCTAGCGTGGATTGTTGCTGCGGCTCACCCCGGGAGTATTGCTTGTGGATGAGTGACAGCCGCGTGCAAAATAGAGACAGCTCGTGGTGGGCGGGGCGGGGGGGGGAGGGGCTTATTTGACCATATTTCACCATCTTATTGGTTCTTTCGGTAAAGTCACCTAGAAGGGAAATAATAAAATAATAAAAATAAAACATAATAAAATAATTCTCACGACGTTTCGGCCACAACGCAAGCAGCCGTCCTCAGGTGAAGAACAGGTCTGTCGGAAAGACAGCGTCTGAATATTTCCCTTCTACGTGACTTTACCGAAAGAACCAAGAAGATGAATCCCTGCAGTCACGAAGGCTTTAAATCGAAACATATTTCACCACTCTGGTCAGTGTGCTTTGGTTGTAGGCGGGGGGGCCTCCGTACATATGGGAGCATAGAAGTACAGAATGGTAACGGACTCCTGCCGCGCCCTGTTTTCGACGAATAGAAGCGCCCGAAAGGTGAATTGTCTGTGACGTCACAAGGGGGGGGGGCATGGCGCACGTGCTGATCGCATGGACAGTGACGACGATCAATCTACTTGTGAGCGGCGCTTGTTAACTAAGCCTAGAACAGCCTTAAGCCTTCAACGTTCGTTTTATTTTCATTTTTTGTCACTTTCTTTCCCCTCTTTCTATAACTTCGATAAAAGGTGATGTGTTGTTGTTGTTGTGCGTAATCTGCAAATATGAGTGATTTGCATCCAATTTTGCTTCAATGGCGTATTCCATATTACCAACATTGCGTGGGTAAAATGGGAAATTGCAACCGTTTGGAAAATAGTGGGGGGGGTTTTTTTGCCCACTTAATCCTATTATATTTTGCAATTTTCTTAAGGTAGCACAATACCCTCTTGCGTTTTCGGAGCAATTGCAAAATAATTGGTGTTCTAGGCTGACCTCGAGAAATGTCCAAGCCTTAAGTATCCCACTTCACCCAACATTTCCCGACAAAAACTGTAGTTACTGTAGAGCCCTATATTTTATTATTCTCTATCCTGCATTGAAACCATCTCAGTGGCTTTAGTGAGTACTCAAGAGATTGAATCTGCTATTGATCTGTGCCACACTGAATACAAATCACCAGTCTGCACACACACACAGACACTCACCAATGCGATTCACGCAAATATCACCCCGATCGCCTAAATGGGCTGTTGGCCAAGTGCTGTTTGCGAGCACCTATTAAGGCCGGCACGGCGCACAAGGGAGTGCTGAAGCCAGTGCCACGTCCGGCCGAATTTGTCTCCGACAGTGCTGGTGTTTTACTACTCGCCGCTGAGTCGACCTCGGGGAAGTCAAGGTCATCAGGGAAAATGTTTTTAAAATATTTATTGTCATAAGGCCCCATCCCGGTAAACATGCCAAAGTTCGGAATATTGATGAAACCGTTTGAACAACGTTGGCCATTGCACAAAAATGTCACAGATTGTGTGCTTTTTTTCCCTTTTAAGACCAAAATGTTACTGAGGAATTCGCTAAAGTTGTGGCTATCTGTTGCTTGTGCACCGTTGTCAACACAGCAGCACGCGCAAAATAATTGTTTTCATTTAGGCGGAGGCCAAGGACCGCTCCAGCTATGCCCCACTGATGTCAACCACTGCCGAGAAATCAAATCCAGATAGCGAGGTGTGCCAAGAGCTACGTTACCACTCCGCCCTTATGTAACACAGCCACGCGTGCGCTTACTCAGAAACGCACAGAAACTTGCAACAATAATAGAGCCCCCCCCCCCCACCATTGCGCTCCACAGACTGTAGGGGCAAGTGCTGTGTGACCGGTGAAGACCGCACGTGTCACGCTAGGTGGCTGGATAATCTTAGACGAGAGTAATACAAAAACAAAAACTCAACACGTCTAATCAATAACACTGCCTTAACAAGACAAATATATACAGCGATGGGTGATATTGTGGGCGATTGTTATTGACCAACGTGCTGCGTTTATTGTTATTTGTGCTCGTGTCCAACGCGGTATCACCAAATATTACTGTTTTTCCCAAGAATCCTTACAATACCGAGTGGCTCTTACATCTAAGAATGAAGGGGGCCCCAAGGAGTGCTGTGCGAGTCATTGGCTGTTGTAGGCGTAGTGCACTTTGCTCGCAATTGAGCGGTTGGAAGGCTCGTGTCAGCTCAGTGATGACGGTAGGAGGCTGATGGTTGTTTTTGTGTGTGCAGCCGATGGGCTCGTAATTATCAACAGGCTGATAATTGTTTTTTTACCCTTCCATCTGGCAACAAAACTGCCACCTTTTTTTTACAAGGAGTCATGTTTGCATAGACCACAATACCTGCAGTCATAATGAAAACAAAAAACATAACTCTGATAATGTGCACTGTCCTTGAAGTTGATTGGTCCACACCCGAGACAGCTTTCCTTAGAGCCGAGCTGTCTCGGGTGTGGACCAATCAACTTCAAGGACAGTGCACATTATCAGAGTTATGTTTTTTGTTTGCATTATGACTGCAGGTATTGTGGTCTATGCAAACATGACTCCTTGTAAAAAAGGTGGCAGTTTTGTTGCCAGATGGAAGGGTAAAAAAACAATTATCATATTTTTTACTGGCAAATGAGGTTCCAATGGTATCAACAGGCTGTTGAGTCACTAGAATATCCATGCAGCATCACGGGCTCATGGCAGATCTCGGCACAAACGTGAGCTGGACTATGTGGTGGCTAAGCAGCAACTGCACGCCCAGTTTCTTTGACTTAAGACCACCACCCTACCATTTGGGTGGATCTGACCACAAACCATCTGCAAGATAGACTGCCCATGGAAGGGGGCAATCTATCCTCTGTGGGAGTAGACAAACCCCCAGGTCAAACATTTCATCATCATCAGCCATAGTAAGCCTATTGCTATATGGAGACTAAGTTAAGGGTGGTAAGACTTCAATGATTTTGGTGTTGAGAAGAGACAAAACAAGGATGTAATTACAATGACTTTGGAGATGTCACGCAGTGCAAGGCAGAAGGAGTAGAGGGAGACTGAGGGTGAAGAAGAGTCAGAATCAGAATCTTTATTTCGACTACAGGAGGAATCCGATGAGCTATGAAGCTCTTTTGAAAAACATGTCCATTGTGGGCAGGTCAGTAAGTTACGACAGAGAACAATACAAAAAACACGATAGGAGTGCACAATAAGAGAAAAAGGTAAGAAAGTAATTACATTTTAAATAATACATTCCTTAATAACACTGGTCAACAAAAAAAAAATTCTGGCCTGGATTTTTGCAGCTGTTCTGCAAAAAACTAATTTCAGGGTGCTGATTCCAAATCTGATCTCAGATTTGCTCTATCACATCATTTTTATGCTATCGGCATACCCCATTTTCATTGATTTTACCCAAAATTAACTCTCTCACTTATGATTGCAAGTTGTTGCGAGTCAGTGACTGCTTTAGTGTTAAAATATGGTGCTGTATTTTTAGGATAGTGTGTTTATAATATCATTTTATGTAGACATCCACATTAATTTAATATTTTTCTTTTGCAGTTTTTATTGAAAATGCAATATTTGATATCTCAAAAACCTGATGCGATAGACAAAAACTGATGCCAGATTTGGAATCAGCACCCCGAAATTACCTTACAACCGTTGGAATACCTTATGCCAGAAAAAGTGTGTTGACCAGTGTTATACAAGTCCCGATTTATCAAGCTGTTAGCAGAGGCGCCCCGTAGGGCACGGCGAATCGGGGTGATCGCCCCGGGCCCCGTGCTTTGGGGGGCCCCCCGCTTTGCGACGTCGCGGTGTCAGACGATGCAACACTTCGGCGTTAATTTGAAGGCGTCGGTTGTGATTATCGCCGGGCCTCGGCACCCCTCTCGAGACGTCGCTGACTCGTAGTACTAACAGCGATGACGGCAGCAGCACTTTACTTCATGTTTAGGGAGAAAGATCATGGCAAAGATTACTCAGTGTGATCTTGCCAGGCACACTGAGAGGACGCTTTTGGAATTCCCAGTGCGGATTCAGGCAGCAGCGGCCCTTTTTGGTAATTTCAACAAAAATTTCGTGAGATCTTTTCTCGCGCGCGCACACATCGTCAACA